GTCACCAGAAGAAGCAATTGACGCATTCAAAGATGCCGTTTTGGATCTGCCAGCAAACGATTGGAATAAGTGTATTAATCTTCGTGGAGAATACTTCGAAAAACAATAAAGTCATTTAAAACTACCTACCGTGTTGTTTTATTTCCATATGCAAAACTTAAAAGACATACCTCGTATTGGAGGCTTCCAGTTTTAAAGTATGTTTCTAGCTGTAGCAACAGGATTATGTGCTACATGAACTTTGTGTTTCGAAAATACTTTATATTTTCAGATATAGTCAGTACGTTGTCTTTTCTCATAATTTGGTCTACTCCCTACGGGGGTAGTTATTCTAGGAAACAATCTCTCTCACTTTCTTTAGGTTAGTAGGTCTGGTAATAGGGTATGACAACACTACCCGGTCTATCAAGCTATTGATGGCACTTTTTCTGTAGGTATTGAACACTGACATCTTAAGGAAGTTAATCTTTCTATCAGTTCCAATTTCTTTTCTGAACTGTAGTGCGGGATATAAATTATTGAATTTATTAAGAATGATTTCGATGCGATTCTTATGTATGCAGAGTAGGCAATCATCTACATATCTCTCATAAAAAATTCGATTGACTAACAAACTTTCAGGAACAGCATTTTGCAGTTCTTCCATACCCAAGTTTGCAATTTTAGATACAAGTGGTGAGCCCATTGCAGCGCCAAAATCTGAGAAAGGCAGTTATTCTCATATTTGAAATATGTTATCTTTGAACATAGCCCTACAGCAGTTTTCAAATCCCCTAGAGGAAGGGAAGTGAAATTATTCAACTGATGCCAACATTTATCAATGCTTTTTATGACAACCGGAATGTTAGTAAACAATATACGCTACAAGTAGATGGTATTTAGGTACCAATTGAGTTTTTATAAAACTGTGAAAACTCCATTAGTCTTTTATATGGTACTTACTTTTACCTCATATTAACTAACATATGGCAATCATTCAAACTCCTTTATTCATAGTCTTATCATCGCTGTGAAAAGTAATGAAAAAGCAGGACAGGTACAGTCTGGGAATGGATGAACTAAAAATTCCAAAAAATGATTCATTGTTGTCTATTAGGAATTTGAGATATATAAGCTGTGGTTGAAATACTTAACAAATATTACCTTAAATTAGTACGGACATAAAGGAATGATACATAAATCCAGTTTCTAGGTTGGGCCACATTTAGATAAAAAGTATCTCGCTAATTCTAAGCCACAAGTGTCGCCGATCACTGATGCAAAACGCGTTTGCAAAATTTATTGGAATCGTGAATAAATGTAATCACCCACGATTCTTAATCGAGATGTCCTTTCGATTTTACCAAGATATTACAGATACAGGTATTGTAATAGATATTATTTATTCACCAATCGTATTCTGATATAAATACCTTGATTTTCGCAATACTCCGTTTTGTTCAACAAGAGAAATGTGAAGTGAGGTGACGTAAGCAATGAGGAATGGTTATCATGGCAGACGGCAGACGTGGATCGTGCAATAAAGTTGCTAGGTCCGACCAGCTTTTGTTAATCATTAGTGCGTATTTTGTCAGACTCTGGGTATACTGCAACTTTTGCAGCGACAAACGAGGACTCATTCCCTGCAATCGGGGTCTCACCTGCTGATTGAGAACCTCTCGTGATTTTGTTACTACCTCCATTTGTTACTGAGCAAAAATCTTTGGTTCTTGGAATGGAACCCCTGAGGTCTCACCAATATATCTGAGAAATTATTATGCGACTAGGCATAAGCCCAGACGTGACTTTTGGAATGTGGGGCCTGAGGTCGTAGCAATATTCGTCCTGTGGGAAAAGTTGTTACTGAGCAAAAAGCTCAGGCGTGGTCCTGAAATGAAAACTACAACTCCTCAATAACTTCTGTCATAAGAAGAAGTGTGTTAGTAAGCTCCAAAGTCTCGCTATCATCCGGTAAATGATTTTGTTATTAAGCAAAAATCCCAAGCGAGTGTCTTGGAATAGAGGCTCCGAGGTCTCACCAGCTTTTGTCCAGAGAAAACATTTGTTAACGAGTGAAAAGCTCAGAAATGTTTCTTGGAATGGTGCCTCCGAGGTCTCATCAGCATTTGACTCAGAAATTATTTTGGGATGGAGCGAAAGACTCACGCCTTTCTGGATTGGAAATCCTAAGTCTTCAATTCGTTACTGAAGGCGTTGTTCTGGTTCTTGCAATAGAGGTCCCAAGGTCTCACCAGATTTCGTCCAGGAAAAAATTTGATACATTGATCGAAAAATTAGTAAGAGTAAGAGTAAGGTTTTTGGAATACAACCCTGAAGCCTAATAAGCTTTCGTCTGGGAAATGATTTTGTTACTAGCAAAAAGCCCAGCGAAAAAGTTTGCTACTCATCGAAAAATAGAGGTCCAGATATTTTGTTTGCCACTGGGTGAAAAGCTTTATAGTTCTCCTATAATGTCTTTAAAGTCCCGAAGTTCCAGCTTTTATTCGGGAAAACATATTTCTACTGAGTGATAACTTGGAATGGAAACCCCGAAGTCTCGCCAACTTTAGTCCCAGAAATGCTTGTGTTACTAAGCAAAAAGCCCCATCGCGTTTCTTGGAATCGAAGCCCCGAGGTCTCACCAGCCTCTGTCCAAGGAGACATTTGTTAATAAGTGAAGCGCTTAGGCACAGTTCCTGCAATTAAAGCATCGAGATTCTTCCAGTTCTTGCTCGCTGAATGATTTTGTTCCTGAGCCAAGTCCTTGTTTTTGGAATGAAGCCCCTGAGGTCTCACCAGCATTTGTCTGAGAAATTGTTTTTTTATTGAGCAAAAAGCCCAGGAGTGGGTCCTGCTATATGGAAAACCCAAAGCCTCAGCAACTTTTGCCCTTTAAAGTACTCTGTTAGTAAACGAAAAACCTTGGCGTGGTTAGACGTCCCAAGGTCTCACCAGATTTCGTCCAAGAAGCAGAAAGCACGGTCCTCGAAACAGAACCCCGAAGTCTCATTAGATTTGATCTGGAAAATGATTTTGTTCCTAAGTAAAAAGCCCAGGCATGTTTTTTGGAATAGCGGCCTCAATACCTCACCAGCATTTATCCGATGAAACAATTGTTAATGAGTGAATCGCTTAAGCGTGGTTCTGCTATTTGAGCCTCAAGGTTCCGCCAGGTTTTGCCCGAGGAATGATTTTGTTACTCAGTCAAAAACCTCTTGGAGGTCTCACCAGCATTTGTCTGAGAAATTATGTTGTTATTGAGCGTAAAGCTCAGGCATGGTTCCTGTGATGGAAAACGCAATACCTCAACAGCTTTTGTCCTGGAAATTACTTTGTTAATGAACGGAAAACCTAATCGTAGTTCTTGCAATCGAGGTCCCAAGGTCTCACCAGCCTTTTTCCAAGTAAATCATTTGTTGATGAGTGCAAAACTTAGGCGCTGTTCCTGCACTTAAAGCCCCTGGGTTCCGCCAGATTTTGTCCACGGTGTGATTTTGTTACTGAGCGAAAAGCCTGGTACTTGGAATGGAGTCCCCGAGGTCCCCACCTCACTGTTGAGGAATTATTTTGTAATTGAACGAAAAACGCAGATACGTTGGCAATTTGAAAAAAGTCACTTTTCAACACTTATTTTCTATCCCAAGAACTTGAAGAAATTAAGGTGCATTGAGCGGTTCAGACGTGGTTCCTAGAACGGGAACCCCATGCCTCAACCGCTTTTGTCTTGGAAATTACTTGTTATTGAACGCAAAACGTATGCAAGGTCTTGCAACAGAAGTCCCAAGGTCTCACCAGCTTTTGTCCGGGGAAGAGACTTGTTACTGCTTGAAAAATTCAAGCACGACTCTTGGAACGAAACCCCAAAGACTCGCTGACTCTTGTCCGGAAAGTGATGTTGTTACCATGCGAAAAGCTTTTTTCCAAGGAAAAAAACATGTTACTCAACGGAAAGCTCGGGCCCGGTTTCTGGAATGGAAACTCCGAGGATCCGCCAGCTTTTGTGCGGAAAATACTTGAAATACTTTTGTTATGGAGTGAAAAACTTAGCATGGTTTGCAGAATGGAACCCTCCAGGTTCCACCCGCCTTTTTGATCAAAGAATGATTTTATCACCGAGGAAAATGCTCAGGCGTGAAAGCCCAAATATTCTACCAGCTTTTGTCCAGGAAAAACTTGTTACAGGCGATAAGATCAGGCATGTTGCGGGAATGGAGGCCCCCGCAACCTCATCAGCTGCTGTATGGAAAATAGTTTTGTTACTAAGGAAAACGCTTTGGCTTGGTTCTTGGGATGAAGGCCCCAAGTCACCACGGGCTTTTGATGGGAAAAATGTTATTTCCGGAGACACAACCAGCTTTTGTTAGGAAACAATTTTGTTATCAGTTAACAAACACTGGAGTGTTTCCCAGAATTGAAACAACACGACCTCAGCCTCTTCGCTACAGGACAATCGTGTTACTGGGTTCAAACGCGGTTTTTCTTATTGAAAACCACCAGCTTTTGTGAGGGGTGGGCTCAAAGCTCACACATGAATCATAAATAGAAAAGAGGTCTTGGACGCTGAAAGCACTGCCAAACATCATACACAGTTGAAGCTAAACCGGCCTAACATACTGTATTGCTACATACTCATGTAACGTAATGAAAAACTATCATCATATTACAAAAAACATAAGCTAACATATACATCAGAATATATATTATGTCACTCCATAAAATCGCATTTCCATGTTACACAATGCCATCCTCTCAAACTCCAACAAAACCATCTCTGCTCATTTAATCCATCCCCACTCCCTCTGTTCCACTCCATCATCATTATCCTAATTAACTCCCCATCCACGATCGATAATCTAGCTTCAACTAGCCAGAAACACAATCATTCCGAATTAAACCTAGACACCCAACGACAAATAATATAATATGGCAAAATCACGCTATCCGCGCTAGGTATGTCGCTGGGGGTCATCAATCGTAGGAGGCGTGGTCTGTGAACCCCTAGACCACGCCTCCGTAGGCATGGTCCCTCTCCACTTGACTCCAGGCAGCCAGTTTTGTTCAGATCTTCAACGGAGCAACATCAACAGTTCAGTGGGAGGTAGTGATACGTGGACTTTTGTGAATACTTTTTAACAGTGACTGTTATTGTGGACTTTGTTATCATGGAGGAAACCAAAACAGACATTAAATCGAAAATATCATTCAGCGTGGAATCCTTGTTATCCTCGACAAAACCTTCCTCTCCGGAATCGGAGCACGAAGTCGAAGATACCAGATACGACACGTCAAGTGACAGATTAGAAGACGACGATGATGAGAACATCACGGTAGATGATGACGAAGAAGATACAGATGGAAGAGAAAGCTTGAGTCCGAACTCATCACATACGGTGGTCGTTCCACAACCCCTGCATCCATCGATACCTAGGTTAATACCAGGAGGGCACCCGCAATGGCCATTTCAGTGGATAGGACCTGCTGGATTTAGGTCGAACTCACCACAAGGTAAGCTACTTTCGTCCAGAAGAAACTTATGTACTGAAGTCTCGCCAACATTTGTTACCGGGAGAAAAACTCGTAGATTAGGGACTCCAAACTTTCGCCAGAAAATATGTTGGCGATTAAAAACTTGCTTTAGTCAGGCGAACAATTTTGTTTGTGTGCGAAAAACTCCAATGCGATCTTCGGAATATGAGCCACAAAGTCTCGCTAGGTTTTGTTAGGGAGATGAGGTAGTAACAAACGCGAAAGGCTCAAGGCGGTCCTTAAACGAAGTACCCCCGGGGTCTTATCAGAACTTTCGTCAAGAGATTAATTTTATTGGTGGGCGAAAAGCTCCACCGTGGTTCTTGGGATAGCAGCTGAGAAGCGTCGCCGAATTTTGCCAGGGAAATGGGTTTCCGAGCAAAAAGCCCCAACTCAGTCCTTGGATGAAGTACCCTGGGGCGTTATTAGAGCTTTGATCAAGGGATTAATTTGAATAGTGAGCGAAAATCTGCACCGCGGTTCTTAGAATAGGGGCTACGAATTCTCGCAGAAGTTTGCTAGGGAAATGGGTTACCGATCAAAAAGCTCCACCGCGGTCCCCAAATGAAGTAAAAATCCCCAATGCGCTCCTTGAATAGAGTACTCCGATGTGTTATTAGAGCTTTGATCAAGGGAGTAGTTTTGGTAGTGTGCGAAAAACTCCATTACGGTTCTCGCAATAGGAGCTAAGAAGTCTCGCTGAATTTTGTCACCGATATGGGTCACCGAGCAAAAAGCCCCAACGCGGTCCCTGAATGATCTACCCCGAGGTCTTATCAGAACTCCACCGCAGTTACCGGAATAGGGGCTGTGAAGTCTCGTCGAATTTTGTTAGGGTAATGCGCTCCATGAATAGAGTACCACGAGGTGCTTTTAGAGCTTTGATCAGGAGATTAATTTTAGCAGTGGGCGAAAAACTCCACCCCCGCGGTTATCGGAATAGGGGCTATGAAGTCTCGCCGACTTTTGCCACGAAAATGAGATACCGAGCAAAAACCCTCAACGCGGTCCTTGCCCCAAATGTTAAAATAGATTTGGTCAAGGAACCAGTCGAAAAGGCCAAACGCGATTCTTGTACTAAAAGCTGCAAGTTTTTTCCAGGGGAATAGCTTTGTTACCACTACAAGGGTCGATCACGATAATCGGAATGGAAGCCACGAGCTCTCAACAACTTTGTGAGCGGAATGATTTCGTTACTGGGCCAATGCACCAACGCTGTCGTCATAATACATGTTGCAAATGTTTACAAAATTGTTATAATGGAACAAGGCGCAAAGCTGCAAGCGATCCTTGGAACAAGGGCACGAGGCTTCACCATATTTTTCCAGGGAAACAGGTTCCCATGCAAACAGTTCTAACGCGATTATCGGAATGGAGGCCACAAGGTCTCATCAGATTTTGTGAGGTCAATGGGTTATTGAACAAACATTTCAAATGCTCTCATCGGAACAGATCCCACGATATCTTATTAGTCTTTGGCAGATGAACAATGATGTTTTATTACCGGCCAAAGAGATCCAACGGAGTCTTTGAAATAGAGCTAATTTTACTACCTGAGCTCAAACATGGTCCACGCTTTACAGGACACAAGATCTCACCAGCCTTTGCCATGGTGATAAGCTTACTAGTGGACGAAAAGCTACAATGCGATCATCGGAATAGAACCCACGAGTTTATCAGGTGATTAAGTTATTGGGCAAGAAGATCCAATCTGGTCTTCGAAATAGAGTCCAAGAAGTTTTGAAAGGCTTTGTCAATGGAATAAGTAAATTACTAAGCGAGAAGTTCCAACGCCGACATCGGCATAGGAACCCTGAGGTCCCAACAGATTATGTTAGGGAAATATCCTATTGAACAAAAAGCTTCTCTTGTTAACTTTTGTGAGGGGATAATTCCCAGCTGGAAAATCCAAACATAGTTCTAGAAAGACTCACTCAGCAGCAGCTGGTTCGCACCTCGACCTCGGAAGTTAAGTTTTGTGCCATGGATATTGTGCTTGTCTATAAATGTAGGCAGATGAGGAATGTTGACAAGATAAGATGCAAAGTCCAAATTTAATTTGTTGGCTTCCACACCGCCTTGCCACCATTTAACAATCGCTATGTTGTTTGGATAAAAACTTAAAAACTAATACTGTGAAAGTTACATTATCTTATAGTTTTTCAATCTTATGTTCATACTGTCATATTGGTCAATATTACATTTTATGGCCCGTGCAGTTTTGATGTAGAAATGATGTTTTTGCTCCGTTTTTTTTTATTGCTCGTTGTTACTGTAATGGTTTCAATAGACAATCATTCTGTTTGTGTTATGTCCTGTAGAAGAAAATAAACAGTTCCGAAAGTTTCACTTCAACAGAGAATGACGTTCTTTCTGGCCTGACTTCATTTTGTGTTTGGCTAGATCCTCACAAATTTATATTTTCCATCTATAAATGTAAGCACCACATTGATGCAAGATCAAATAATAGGCACATCGTACCGCTGGGGCTGGTTTATTAAATAAATAATCAGTAAATAAATAAGTATGCGAATGTCAGTCCCACGGAATTGGCAGAAAGACTTAAAGGTAACCCTTGAAAAAGATGTACCGAACTCACAATGAGTAAAGTCTCATCAGCTGTTGAAAGTAAAACACTGTTACGGTCCGGAAAGCTCCGATTGAAGTAGATCGAAAACTCTTGCCAGCTTTTGTCACTGAAATAATTTGTGTTAATACTCCCTCGATCCTTAAAGGCAACGAGGTAGTGTCAATCTTTATCAGTAGAACTAATTTGGTTATTGGACAAAAAGCTTAAACATTTATAAGTTCTTTTTTACTTGTTAAAGAGACCAAAAGAACAACCTAAAGCTGCATGAATAGAATATCAGCATACATCTAGTAATGATGTTTCTCCGTCGCATGGCATGAAACGCGGGCATTAAAAAGAGTGCACAAAACTAAATGATACTGAAATGCAAAACAAATAATTTTAGAGACGATTTCTCCGTCTCTAGTCATTTTTGATACAACAATTCTTATTCCTTATCTGAGACATTATTACCACTATTTTACGGAATTATGTAGCCTAGTCGGTTAGGTATCATTTTGATTACAAATATTTTCTGTGTCGTTTTGGGTAATTTAAACCATCAATACAAAACAGATGAATAATATATGTCCTATGGCCCTGTTTTTTTGTATTAATTCACACTGCATACAAAATATCTCTTATGTCGTTACTAGTACCATAACTAACTACTACTTTACAAAACTATACGTTGTTCTAAGCATCTAAGTATTTAGATTTGGTCCTCCGAATAAAACTGACCGACCAGTAATCGCTTCCGAAAGAAGGATCAAACGAGCACCGTGGAATTCTTCTAAAATATCTCAAACTTGTCAAATATTATAACATTTCAGTAATAAGGGTATCTAATCCCCATATTCAATGAAGGAAATCTTTATAAACCACCCGTTTAGCAATGAAAACCTATTTTTTCAGTAGATTCGCGGACTTAATTATGGTCCAATCCGAAACAATAATCATGTTCATTGTTAATGATAGAACCAAATTTAAAATAAACGTAACGAATGGGTGATTTTTTTGCTAGTATCATTTTGGCAACACCGTTTTTGACAGATCACGCGTGAATCGTGTCTTGTGTCATTGTCAAACTTGTTCAGTTTGGTCTATAATTTAACCATGAATCGAACAACGCTTGCAAATTATTGAATTTTACTATCAAAATTCATGCTCGGTTAAGAGAGTGCATCGAGCACTGCTTCTAATTTATGGGCAATTTGGTCGGCCTACTGAGGGAGGTATTCGGAAGCTTGTGACTAAATTTCGAACCCAGTTTACATTATTGGACATTAAACCACCAACACGCAGCCGTAGAGTGAGGACTGAAGAAAATATTGCGGCTGTATCCGCCAGTGTTAGTGATGACCGTGAAATGTCGATTCGCCGCCGTTCGCAGCAATTGGGCCTCTGTTACTCCACTACGTGGAAAATTTTGCGACAGGATTTGGGTGTAAAACCTTATAAGATACAGCTGGTGCAAGAATTGAAGCCGCACGACCTCTCACAACGTTTCCAATTTGGTGAATGGGCGCTGGCAAAGTTGGAGGAAGATCCACATTTTTATCGAAAAATTGTGTTCAGCGAAGAAGCTCATTTCTGGTTGAATGGGTACGTTAACAAGCAAAATTGCCGCATCTGGAGTGAAGACCAGCCAGAAGCATTGCAAGAGCTACCAATGCATCCCGAAAAAATCACTGTTTGGTGTGGATTATGGGCCGGTGGCATCATCGGGCCGTACTTCTTCAAAGACGACAATGGCCGGAACGTAACTGGAATGGCGAGCGCTACCGTGCGATGATAACAAACTTTTTTTTGCCCAAAATGGAAGAGCTGGACTTGGCTGACATGTGGTTTCAACAAGACGGTGCCACATGCCACACCGCACACGAAACAATGGCCCTATTGAGAGGCGAGTTCGGACTATTTCTTGTGGGGCCATGTTGAGGCTAATGTCTACAGGGATAAGCCAGCAACGATTGACGCACTGGAAGCCAATATTGAAGCATTTATTCGTGAGATAGCGGCCGATATGTTGGAGAGAGTGTGCCAAAATTGGACCTTGCGCATGGGCCATCTAAAGCGGAGCCGCGGCAACATTTACAAGAAATAATCTTTAAACATTAAATTATATCGACCGTTCTATCGACTCAAATAAAGATTTAATCGTTTTTTAAAATTTTTTGTGTTTTTTTTTTAAATCAAACCCTATACCTCTTAAAAAATCACCCGTTACATGTAAAAATTGGTGAGATACTTTTAGATTGACCAATTTTAATCAGAGATTTATTGAATCCGCATGTTTATAGTGAGATTGGTCCTATGTACTGCGATTTCACTTGTTTTGAGTTTGCGTTAAATTATATTAACAAATGACTGTCAGAAATTGCGACGGGCTCTTGGGATATTATCAATA